TATCTAACCATTTCTTAATAGAAAGGTAGCATATTCTACTCACTTGTTTTATGACCTTGAGTGTTAGTCCGGCCTGGGCTCGAACCCTCGACCTCCTGCACAACAGTCCAGCGCTCTATCCTCTATCCCTCATCTCTCTATGTGGAGGAACTAAGACGAGCCAGAAGCTTATCTGATCTGATGGCGGCACAGTACTCGATGACAGTGGACCTCTCTGCCTGCCCATGCTCATGGTTCGGAATTGAAAGCGTTGCGAAAAGGGAAGATAATTGTATATTTCACAAATAGATGAACATGTCTGTTTATGGATCTTGAAAGCAAGCGGGGCCATTTTGTTCAAGATGGTAACAAGGGAGGAAATTTCTGTTCAAGAAGGATTGAATGTAAAAATTTTAGGGATTTTTTTGCTCAGAATTTCCGGAGCGTGGGGTTACTATCCGATGCGGATTGCGAGGATCGGTCTTTACATTTTGGTGAGCAGGTGCGTCATTCGTCTGAGCAACAGAGCTCAGCAACATTGCGACTTTTAGAGGAAGATGAAGAAGAAATGATGGGAGAAAATGCAGCTCTTTCCTTGTGATGCCAAATCCTCGTTGCCCCGGTAGCTAAACTGCTTGAGGAGCCTGAAGTCATCATTGTTCCACCTAGCAGTTTGTACAAAGTTCCATTTGCTGCCCTGAGAGGAAAGGAAGGAAAATATCTGTCCGAAACTTATCGCATCCGCATTGTTCCCTCTTTAACTACCCTCAAGCTAATTCGGAATAGTCCGGAAGACTATCACAGTCAGAATGGGGCTCTCATAGTTGGTGATTCAAAGGTAGGCTGGGTGATGTACAAAGGAGACCGTGTGAGGTGGTCAGAATTGCATAGTGCTAGAAAATAGGCTCAGATGATTGGGCAGCTAATGGGCGTCGCACCTTTGTTAGGAGAGGAAGCAGTACTTGAAAAGATATCTTCAGTGAACCTCATACATTTTGCTGCGCATGGTGATGCAGAGAGAGGTGAAATTGCTCTTTCCCCAATTCCCACTACTGACACTCCTGACCACTATCTTCGAGAACAAGATTATCTTTTGACAATGTCCGATATTTCACATGCGAGAGTGAGAGCTAAACTGGTAGTACTTAGCTATTGCCATAGTGTAAATGGACACATTAGAGCCGAGGGAGTAATAAGAATTGCTAGAGCGTTTTTATAGGATCCGGTGCACGCTCGGTGTTGATTGCATTATGGGCGATAGAAGACAGAGCACCGGCGCAACTCATGAACCATTTCTACAAAAATCTCGTTGGGGGACGAAAGTGGCAGTGAATCTCTTCACCAAGCCATGAAATGGATTAGAAGAAACGGCTTTGACAAGGTTTCTCATTGGGCTTCATTCAGCCTGATCGGGGATAACGTGACATTAAATTAAAGAAAGTGTGTGAATATGATTGGAGTAAGTGGTGTGTTGTTATGATGTCTTTTATTATTTATATATATTTCATACTTATTAAGGTACAGGAGAACTCAAATACTTGCGTAGGAAGGTCTTCTACGTGACAACTTGGTGTTTCTCTGTACATTAAGACGACTTGGTAATCTCGGAGGAACGTATTATTGCAATTGGTGTTAGCATTTTAAATAATGCGTGGAGTAGGCAATGATATCGTATTAATCGAATTTTTATCATAGCATATTTGTAATAATTTAATGAATTCCATAGATAAAAACTGTATCCATTCAGTACCTAATGTTTCAAAAACTCTTTTAGGAAAGATCGAAGACATAGAAATTGAAGGTGGAGAAACAGAACTCCCTAGAAGACAGTACGCTTCGTGGAAAGTGTTGATCTGAGTGTGCATCAGTCTTGTGTGGTTAACGTTCTGGCCGTAGACCGTAGAAAGCGTTTTATACACTGAAGTAATTATAATGAGTACATGAATTTATTTCTCTTTCTGATATCTTTACCTACATGTAGCAATATTAATGAATTCCGAATTGTTATGTAATTTTTTAGATGCATTAGGTGAACGCCAGCCCTACTTATTTAGTTTATGTATTCAGGCTGAAAATGGAACTGAAATGTTTTCCTAGAGTTTCAGCATTAATTGACGAAGGTATACTTTTGAAGCTTTTAATCCGGGAATAAGTCGGTACGATCTCGAGGTTGCACAGTCCGAAGCCGACTTACACTTGTTGACATTTATTCTATCTCATGGCATGAAGCGTCGGGTGTCGGAGTCGGCCTGGAACGGGACACTTGATAAATTTTCTGAAACGCCGGTTTCAAGGCAATGAAATGAAAGTCAGGAACCTGAGTTTTCATTTAATCATGTAGAGAGGGACCAGACATTCTTTTATCGTAAGAGGGGGGGTGGGGAGGATTTGTCATGATGAAAATTACCTGAACCCCCCTCAAGGCTTTGTAATTAGATCCTTATGATCTCCCCTCGTTGGCAGTTTATTGGCAGTCGATTTTCCATAGTCCCTCCTTTACACTCTGTTGGGGAGAACTAATTCCCCTTCCATTTCCCTGAAAATCATGTAATCCCCAAAATACTCCAACCCCTCACCCCCCCTCTTCCCTGCTAGGCAATAAATAACTTGTTTATTTAACGTCGTAGTGTTTCCTTTAGTGTATATATTTGGAGTTCCTTGGGCTTGGGCTTGTTGATATTGAAATGATTTTTACTTTATCACATCAATTCTTTGAATTCTTTTTTTTTTTTATCTGCTCCTGCTACTGGTAACTGAGTTAATTAAGCTGAGCAAGTGGCTTTTCCCATTTCTCGTCTTCATGATAGAGTATAAGGGAGAGTACTTAGGGAAATTGATTGCCAATTAACTGCAAAGGATGTGGGGGGGAGGGGTGTTATCACAAGAATAGTGCAGAGCCTTATGGGAGGAATCTGGTAGATTTTATCGTGACACAACCAAAACCCTCCAACTACTACCCCCGCCACCCTTCCTCAACCCAGGTGTTAAATAGTGACCGCTCCCTTACCTCGTTTGATTCGTTACTTTGCATAGGATGATTGTCTTTCACACCGGGTGTTTTGTTTTAATTGGTTATTTCGGGTTACACTACGGACTCCAGTGCAGAGTAACCGGCAGACTAGTGTTGCTGGACAACGACAGCAAGTGAGAAAGGATCGGAGTTTTATTACAAGAAGTGATCGATTTAGTGACTTACATTACATATTCTTTTGTTTGATTTTTGCCATGATAATATCCTGTCAAATTGACTTTTTCATTACAGAAGTCTTCATACCCATGTCTAGAAGAGTTTTACCGCATGATGATACACTCTGTGGATTCTAGATATCATTCACAGGAACTTGGAATCCTCTCAATTATGCAAAGTACGGATGTCTACTCAAAGACGATGATAAAAATCCTCTTCTGCCGAATAAAAAGTCAAGCGTTGTAATACCAAGTTGCAGGCAGAACTCATTCTTTATTTTCTGAGTCCCCTCAGTGTAGTTTTCTGATGTTACTTGTGACACTTGCCTTTCAGTTAATTTCGGAATTATTGTCATATACACAGCCTGCGTGTTATCCTCGACCCTCGTTCCCAAGTGCTGCCTCGTTCCCAAGTGCTGGCTCGCTCCCAAGCCCTGAATCGTGAGAAGTATCCTTTCCAAGGTCCTCGCTTTCCTTGTGTTCTTTTAGCCCGTCATTCATCTTCTTCCCAAGATACCAGGGATGTTCCTTTATTCCTGAAATGTCAATCCTCTCCTTTTCTTCGCAGAGCATCTTTAAAATGAGGTGTCTGGCCTCCTCGGAAACTTTTCGCTTCTTAGGAAAAACGACGGTCCTAGATACCTAAATGAGAAACAAAAATCGACTATGAAACGATGTCTACTGAAACGGAACCCACTCGAGTTACCAAAGCAGTTTGTCAGTGGTAATATGCTGCTTGGCTCCTGATAAAGGCATTTTCAATTGGTTATTGAAAGTAATCCAGAATTGCATTGGTTTACCTTTTTTTCTTTCGACACGTGATTAGAAACTCGCGCCAGGATTGAATTTTTTTTCCTTTTTTTCCTCGCCAGGTGATTGTGTAAAAAATTTGGCGCCACCCATTCCAACCACCCAGAGGCCAAGTGCAGTATGCAGACTTCCCTTTGCAATGATTTCATTCTATCAATATCACCTGGCCTCCTTGTACTTACTTGCTCCATCAATAACTTGAGATTTGAGTCATCGTACGGTAATTTAGCACACAGCATAGTAAACAACACCACCCCCAAACTCCATACATCCGAGCGCGTTCCGTCGTAAGCAACGCCGCGAAGAATTTCAGGCGGCGCGTAGGCATATGATCCGCAGAAGGTCAAACTCAGCCTTCGTTTTCCTGTATCAAAGTCGATAGGTACGGTCCTTGCGAAACCGAAATCCGTCAGGAATATATTTTTGTTGCGATCCAGCAAAATGTTCTCGCATTTCAGATCTCTGTGAACCACGTCCAAGTTATGGAGGTATTCTGAAGCGTCGATTAACTGGCGGAAGAACGAACGAGCTTCCTTTTCGCATACTGGGCCGTTCGTTTTGATGTAGTCTAGCAGGTCTCCGCCGTCGGCCATGTCCATTACGAGATAAATCCGAGAGCTTGTTTCGATTGCTTCGTAAAGTCCGATGATGTTCGGATGCTTGAGTCGTTTCATAACCGTAATCTCGCGCGGTAAAAACTTCGTTATGTAGTCTTGCGGTGCCTTTTTCTTCATGATAATCTTAATAGCCACTTGCCGCCTCAGCTTCTTGGAAAACGCCACTTTAACAACTGCATAAGACCCTTTACCCAATGAATCACCCAAGACATAGCCATAAGGGACTAAAACCATACTAGTATCCTCAGATGGTTCTTCATGCGGAAGCTTAGGTGAGATGCTATTTTGATGTGGTGTTCTATCTTCAGCTGGCGGTTTTTGCCTTGCATCGTCGACGTTGGTTTCATGACCGGTGCGGTAGTTGTTGCAAACGTAATTTCCATCGCCTTCGTCCGTTTCTTTGAGGTCTTGATCTTTGGACGATGCCGACATGCGGCGAAAGTAGCGAAAAAGTCGCTGCAGTTTGTCGAACTTCAGTTCAAATTTGAAATCATGGAGGTTAGAAAGTACAACAAAATTGTTGCACTGAGGATACAAAAAATAGGATATGTTGTCCAATTCACGTAACGTTTTCCTCTCCAAAGTGGAGAATCCAGAGTAGTAACAATTTTCTTAATGATTAATTATGTTTTCAAGCGTCAAAACAATCGAATTAATTGGTCAGATACACGCGCGTGGGAGCTGGCGAAAATTGCGTGACGTAAGAAGATGGTCTCGTCGCTTTACAGTTTGTCTTGATCTTGGCCTGTACGAAAAATTTAAACCGTACTTACATTTACAAGTATTTCTTTTTTCAAAGATTTATAACGTGTTTGTCAGTTTGGCGGACATAGATTTACGCGACGCTTAAAATCCTGTATTTGTAATAATGTCACGCTCTCACCGACTTCTGCTGTTTTTCTCTCCATCAATTACTGCAATTTGTAATGGATTAAGAACGATTTTTCCTTAACTTTTATTCAGAAAAAAATAAAAAGAGAAGGTAAGAAAGTAATAATAAGATTAATATTACTGTATAAAAAAAAGCAAAAAAAAGGCCAGCGCCCAACGTGGGGCTCGAACCCACGACCCTGAGATTAAGAGTCTCATGCTCTACCGACTGAGCTAGCCGGGCACTGACGTGGGAAGGGGAAAAAATTAGTGTACTTATTATAATGGCTTGATTAGGTTCATTATTTCCTTCACAACTAAGGGCATGATTTACACAACCGTTGGTAGTGTTGTTTCAAAAGACAAGCGAAGTAAAAAAAAAACTCCACCTGATGAATTCTATTTCCATAAACACAAGGCTTCAGAATTACTCAATTCATCTGTTTTATTCCTATAAGTACAAGTTTGTCTCAATTTAGATTTTTAGATTATTGCTACATTGTTTTCATTAGTTACAAAGCTTTAAGAATTAACTTGTCACACATAAGTTTCTTGTTTAATATTCATCTCATGTATTACTTGTAATATGTTTGATCAGTCTATTCTGTTAGTTTTGTACTCTTTCCCTTGCACATCTTAATCAGCACTTGTCGGCTGGCCAGTTATAGTGCTTTATGTTATATGCTTTTCCAGCAAAACACCTTGCTGCTGCTCCATCACATTCACAAACAGCCCTCTCACAAGTTCCCTCTTTATCAGCTGAGGTTTGCGAGGTGAGTTAAAAAAAAGACAAAACAGAAAATTAATTACTTGTGACTCAAGAAGAACTGCACTCTCACGAAACATTAACAACTAGGTTTAGGAGACTGTTCTACCATGTATGTCTTGATATTTTTTGCCTACAGTGAACATTTAATGATCGTACTTTTTCCAGTACTGTTCTTGTTAATACTCCCTCCCAAATGCAGTGAACAATCCTCTCTTAGATTCCTCTAGATCAGAAGGGATCCCATGCCATAAATAAAAAATCTAAAAACATAGGTTGTTACCCATTCAATTAACACACCAAAGCCTAAAGTGGATATCTAATTACTTTTCCTATTACTATACCTTCTAAAACTCCCTTGCAAATGTTGTGAAGAATTTTTCTACCTATTTCTGGATATCAGGTGGGTTCTAATGCAATTTGATATCTAAAGACATGGGTTGTTACCCAATCAGAACTTACCACAGCCAGTGCAATTATTGTCTCTGGTGTACATTCTCATATAAACATCCACTTTGAAATAACACAAGTTTTGCTTTTGTATATGACCATAACATTCATCATGAATCTTACAGCATCTGAAAATTGGTTAAAATTGGCTCATTCATATTTCAATGAGTTAAAGGTGAGAGGGATAAATCTTTAAAAAGACGGGACGAGTGCCATTAAATGTTTAAATGATTGAGCCTTACACTTTATATATTATTAAAAGCTTCAGCCGTGAAAAACATCTTTCTTGCATTTCCAAATTCAAAGATTTTCTCTCCACGGACATTTTCTGATTTGTTCAGCAACAAACGTGGAAATGATCATGGAGCCTTAATAAACAATATCAGGTAGATTTGGGCCTTCTCACAAATCCCTCTTATAATAAATTCATGGTTTCAAATGGGGCCATTTTTTTATTGCACATACTCAATAAATCTCTCCCCTTTTTCTAAATTCACCCTTTGGTTATAGAGACTAATAGCTCGATTTTCCACTCCAAGAACTTCTAGGTAAATTTCCGAGAATCAAGTAATTCTTTAAAAAAAAAAACAAAATAGATGGGAATTGAAAATTTGAGTAACTCATGGCGGGTGTGAGAATGCATGGACACTAATTAAATGACACACATTGCAAGGGCGTATCCAGGGGGGTCCTGGAGTGCCCATGACCCCCCCCCCCTTGGTAGGCCTTCTTTTGAGCAAGCAACTTACAATATTCAGGTAGTGAAAACGCCATGACAATGTCTTGACCTGCCCACTATACTCTCACTGCTCATCCCAAAACTGTAACATTAAGTAAGACATGCACGGCGGGGAGGTCGACATGACAATCTGGTGAGAAGCCTCTGTGACCCCCCCCCCCTTTGAAAAATCCTGGCTACGCCCCTGCCCTTGAATCAAATGTAAAGGTTAGGAGAATAATGGAAATGATCACCAATCTACTGTAAGAAACTCCTGATTGTCAAACAAATTCTCCTTGTGGTTACCATAGGAAATGTACTGAGATCAGTGTGGAGAATATAGATGTTAATACAGAGGTGTAAAGGGTAAGAAAAGGAGGGAGAGCGCAANAAAACCTATTTTAACCCTTTAGATCGTAAAGTTGACAGGCTTCTTTCTCCTTACAATATCACCCTTGAAGGGCGTAGCCAGGGGGGTCCTGGGGTGCCCCTGAGCCCCCCCTTGGTAGGCCTTCTTTTAAGCAAACAACCTACAACATTCAGGTGGTGAAAATGCCATGACAATATCTTGGCCTGCCCAGTATACTCTCACTGCTCATCCCAAAACTGTAACATTAAGTAAAACATGCACGGTGTGGAGGTTGACATGACAATCTGGTAAGTAGCCTCTGTGACCCCCCCCCCCTTTGAAAAATCCTGGCTACGCCCCTGCATTGGCTTACTTCTGAGATCAAAATGATGCTGCTGATTAACAGTTGAACGATATACCTTAGTTCAACTTTTATCAGGAAATAATTTCTGAAGATAACGATATACCTTAGTTCAACTTTTATCAGGAAATAATTTCTGAAGAAATTTTTGCTGTGGTGAGACTTGCCTGTCAGTAGCATCTGTAGGCGTTCCTGCTCCTCCGAGGCCACAGTAACAGCCATAATCAATATAATCTGCAGAAGTTCTCGAAGTTGCACAAGCTATCATGTTATTGAATTGCAGAAGGTTTCTCTGGGTGCGCACAATTTTATCTGTAAATGAGAAATATGTATAAAATTATGTTATTTACCGGGAGAGAGAGGTCAATGTGGGAAAACAAAAACTGTGCATGAGGTCGTGGGTAAGGCCCAAGTCCGAAGATAATAATTGTTTTGTAAAGGATCTCAGGGAGCCGGAATCTTAAAAAAAAATACTCGAGTCTAATTCGCTATTCGTGCGCTCGTAACCGGTCCAGCTCTTTACTTTACGGATCCTTATTTTTTCCGTGAAATTCGCGGCATAGCAGAAAAAGGCAAGTCAGTCGATATAAAGGAGTAAATTTTTGAGACGTTAGGAGAACTTATGCTATTCGTATCGCATCGGTATGGGGACCATGCGATTTCAATTTTTAGGCGCCATTTCAATTACAGGCAAACCACGGTCACCCACGACTCGCGAAAGAGAGAAACATGGATTGTATTTCATTCAAAATATTACTCTTAAATTTTCATCCGAGTGGTTTCGCTTTAAGTGACTGTCCAATACAGGTGAAATACAATACAAACAGGCCACTGGGACTCACTCGACGGTGATCATGACGACCGCAAAATAGAGGTGATCGCTTGATAGAGATGAAAACTAGTGATGGAGCGGAAACAAATTCGCGGGACCTCGTAAAAGCGATCGCTTAATGCTGGGTCAGTGACTGCTTAATACGGTGCCGCTTAATACAGCCTCGACTGTACGTACAATCAGGTCGGTAAAAACTAATACTTGTAATGAGACCACAAATAACATTAATCTTTAATTTAAACTTGGTGATCGATGACCCACTGTAACACACGATCGCTATGAGTAACTCAATTTGTTTTGTTCTTCTATCCGTTTGACAAATTCTATGATCAAGCTGTTGTTGTGTTCAATTTTGCAACTGGATTAAGCACCCCAAAAGTCCGCTTTTCTTGGCAATCAGCACACAGCACAATTAAAAATGTTTTATTTCTAGCTGAGGGCGCACGCCCTTTCCCAATCACTGCTGATTCTTACTAGTTTTATGGCCTTTGCCTCCGGCCGTTGGCCCTACTCAAGACTTCGAGAATACTTTCTTTCTATACGGAACTCCCTCCCGGTAAATACCATGTATGTATTAAAACTCGTCATCATCATCTTCACCAAGATAATGGTTTTCAAGATTGGAGTAGTCAAGCAGTCCAATGCGGCATTTGAAGGATTATCTTTCCGTTTTCTTTAACCTGGCCTTACCTTTTTTGTTTTGAATTTTTAGACCATCCTGCAAAAGAAGGCGAGTTGCCAATCAGTGATCAGACTCAACAAATGGAAATATCCACTTGAAAGTTAAGATTCCTCCTGCCTTAGGCAGAAAAATGGCTTACCCCAAACATGTTCGGATCTTATAAAAATTTGAGCGCAGAATTAAAAGGCCTGATCGGATAACTTAACGTTACTTCACTTTTTCAGTTTTCACCTTTTGCTCTGTAAACCATCTTATTTTTGTCTTCGCCAAAGAGCAACCAAACTCTTCAAAAATTCTCTGACTGAAAATATGATAAAAAAATTTCAGTAACATACGTTGCCATTTTGAATCACGTTTGCAACCTGCAGTTGGTCGCTTAATTTATCAATTGTCACTTTCTATCTGTTTTTGCGATTTTTTTTAATCATTAGGAACGACACCGAGAAGCCTTCTTGAGGCATTTTTCTCCCACTTTCCTTCTCTAGGCAATTTCTTTTAACCTAGCCTTTCAAAAGTTGTATGCAAATTCAAGCAACATACACCGCCATTTTGAATTATGCCTAGCAACTTGCAGCTGGTCGCTCAATTTTAAGCTGGTCTTAATTCCGGCCTTCCATCCATTTTGGTGATTTCTTTGGATCATCAGGAACGGTGCAAAAAGGAATTCTTGACCCAAACTGTTAGTGTTTTTTCTTTCTTTCCCTTTTTTTTTTTTATCTGATTGCGCCGATAACCAGAGCTGCAGATAGCAGCAGCTGCATGTGAGTCGTGCGTTGGTTTGGGCGTGCTGCTAAGTTACTAATTCTTTTAATTTTTTCTTTTTCAATTAGTGATGGCCCTAAATGAACTAAGAAATTTACCACGGCGTGGCCAATTTCCTTGCCCATTTGGGATTAAATTTTAAACATGGATGCTACTGGCTCTGAAATCTCGAAGGACGACGGGAGGAAAATTGTAAAACACATTTTTAGTGACAGGAGAAAGAACACATTTATAATAGCGCCTTTGACAGTTGTACATGTGTAGTTATAACGTATTGCTGTAACCTACCCTGTCAGATGGAAAAGCGAACACATTGGCCAAAATGATCATCTTTACCAAAAACACTCCCTTCATCTTCCTACTTCTCTACTGAGGAAAATAATGTTGGTATGGGGCAACTTTGTTTATGGATCAGTATGTGTACGGCAAAATGAATAATTAAATAACAATGTCCGTTTGTAAAATATCTCGATAACTTTAATGAGAATCGTTAGGAAAATACGATGATCCGCCACTGGGAATCCCTAGTGACTAATCTCTTCAGTAATGAGCAGATAAATCAACTGAATTCTAAGAAAATTCAGAGTGTTTCAGTGAATACCGCATATCATCAGAGCGATGAGATTTCCAGCCGCGGCATGCAGGGATCACGTTCGAAAATATGTTTTGTCCCATTCATTCCCAGTAGTAGGACATTAAAACGCACACATCTTTGGATTCTGCTCCCATGAGCAACGTTTATGCCCATTCCCAATCAGTTTTTACTGGATATTTTCATTTGCTGTTGTTTTGAGCAATCTAAGTTTTCTGCCTCGAGGAAGTATTAAAAATATAATTCAAACATCGCAACAGCTTAACTGAATAGTGGCTCCGTTATATATACAAAGTGACAATGTAGAAAATATATACGTCTTTGTTTTCTCCTAGTCATTCTCTTTGATTGGTAACAAAAGCATCACGTTATTTAGTTTTGGCTTACTTTAAGTTAAATAGTAACTTAAAAACAGAAATGTTGACAAAAATTAAAAGTACCTGACCGTCGCTTTCTTAGCTCTTCTACTTGGAGTGTTTTTAAGCTACAGAGTATAGTAGACTCATGAACTTAATTTACATTTTTTTTTCTCTCGTATTTCAGTGACAGTTGTATGACGCTGATGTATGACACAGATGTTTGACGCTGATGGGTTTACCGAAGGCACTTAAGCTACGGTCTAGAGTTTTAGTCACTTAAATTTAATTGTAGTAGAGTAGTTATAAAAATGTTTTTGATTATGAATGGTAAACAGTGATACGAGGAAGTCTAAATAACAGAAAGGAGACGGACTTTATTACTACTGCAGCACATGCAATTGCTTTTTATAGTACTTAAAAAAAATGAAGCCAATTTTCAAAGTCGTGAAAATATTGAGTTGATGATTAAGAATAAAACATCTTTTGTTATGCTAGCCGTTTGACGTATTTCGCCCGAGGATTGTATGACGACAATTACCTTTTCCGCTCAAAATTTTGCTAGGCAGCAGAAGTCTGCCCTGAAAATGCAGCCAACGTTTCCTTTGACGGGTTCCAAATGCATCAGAGAGCAAAGGGGCGCTATTGGACTGACAAACAAACAAGTTAAGCGTTTCGTTAGTTTAATCGACAACACCCCTTCAGCCTAAACCAAGACGTAGACGCGAAACAATTTCTGTAACAACAAATCCAGCGAGTTTTTGTTTTCGGTCCAACCATGAAGTGCAAAGAACCCATGAACTTGTACTCGCCTTTTCGGCTCAAAATTGTGCTAGGCAACAGAAGTGTGCATGGAACATGCTACCAACTGTCTCTTGACTGGGTCCAGCAGAGAGTTGAAATGGCTCCATTGGACCTACCGAACAAGCCTTTCGTTAGTCAGTTGTCGTTAATGGTCCTTAAGTCGAAGTTTAGGCTTAACTTCGACATTAGGAAAGAGTAATTTTTTTAATCCAAACGTGAATCGCTAGAAACTCTCTCACTTGATATGAAGTTATTCTTATTTGCCACGAACTTAAACTGAAAACTGCATTAACCAGCTGTCTGATCTGTATCACAGATTTCACAGATCATAAATATTATGCATCTGATAGCTCGCGATCGATTTGAAGGTACAAACGAAGAATTACGTGATGCACAGGTGAAGATATATATCTTATTAACCAAGCGCGAGGGCCGTACTGGGAGAATATCGGCCCGAGGTCTTGACAGTACGGACCGAGCGCAGCGAGGTCCGTACAAAAAAGACCGAGGGCCGATATTC